CGCCTTCCCCCCCCGCCCGCCCCCCCCCCCCCCCCCCCCCCCCCCCCCCCCCCCCCCCCCCCGCGATGATGGAATGGATGGGATGGGATGGGATGAGACGAGGACGGGAGAAAGTTGGCAAAGGCTGAGGCCGCGAGGGAAATTGAGCTGCGAAAGTGACCGGTTGCCCGGTATTCGTAATTCGCCTGCAGGTCGACAGGACGGTCGGCGGTATTGCGCCCGTGTAAAAAGGAATGGAGTCGGGTAATGAAGGTATTCCCAATGCTCAGTTGGGGAAGAAAAGATTAATGAACGGCAAGAAGAGAGAGGGAGAGAGAGAGACGGAGAGACGATGAGCGCAGAGGCTGGTTGGAGTTGAAAGAAGGGGAAAAGGACCCAGTCGCGGTGGAGCTGCTGGATATTAGTTGGTAGTTGGTATTATCTTATGGAGTACACGGAGTATGCATAACATAGCCTATACGGAGTATATAGATTAGAGATGCCATAGAATACTCGTCAACAGATCGACTGAACAATCAATTCGGGCTTTATCCTCTCTTCCCTCCCTCAGAATGCCTCGACATACCTCCCTGATGGTGCAATCCATGCAGGTAATACTGTTAATTGTAAGGTAAAACCAACCCGGAATATCCGTGTGATTTTAGGCCGCAGATTCCTCACGAAACTCGCCGGTGCCCAGAAAAGAATTACCTGGACTACTCCATATCCACCTTCTAAACATAAGTCACCCCCAGAATTCTTCCTCGAGCCCGTCCATTCTGCAGAAGCATCAGGTCTATGCATTATAATATACTATAATTCTCGTAGAATATAAACATCTGTCAAGGTGCATACATCAATCTACGAAATGCATAATTTTATGTCCGACGGGATGTTTTTCTAGGCAATCCGGAGGTTCCCCGTCACGGCCTAGTGGTGTTCTGGTATTATCATGGTATTGCTATCCAGGCACAAATACGAAATACGGTATCGGGCGGTATCTACTGTAAAGTATCTTATGTATTTTTATAACTTTACTTCCGAAAAGTCTCCCCTGCAAGGAGAGGACTCGACCATGCAGGGGACAAATAGGAATACCACCTTATCCTACGGAGTAGGTCTCTAACGATCATATACCAATTGACTGTGACTCCACTCATACAAGAGGAGAGTTCATCCTAAAATGTAGTGCACCACTCCGTTCTCCTATGGCGGTGGATGCTCATGTTTTTCCTCTCCGAAGATCGACAAATTCCTCTCTACCTCCCAAACGTCACCCGAGGAATTTGCCTCCGCAGCCCTGAGTCTGACGCAATATGCGCTGGCAGTATGTGTATGTCCCTTGACTTCCCCCCCTGCTCCCACACCATACCCACGCCCAGATTCCTGCACGTAATCTGGAAAGTCGACGTGACGGCAGGTGTCAGATGATCTATCTATCTATCTATCTACTTACTTAGGTCGCGGATACCTCGTGGATGTATGTGCTATGTAGTTATCTATTCCACCTGCAGTCCTCCTACTCCATACCAGGGCTGGTAGGTCGGCAGTACGGTGGGTACGGTAAGATTAACAGACGATAGTGCTCTTTCTGCTATTTTTGGAATGAATTACGCTGTTTCCTGGGTGGATTACGGTTACCGTCGTCGGATTTTACAATCTCCGTAAACTACCTAACTGAATATGGTGGTAGTCAAGTAAATACTCGGAGTTGTGCTCCCGCCGGGTCCCATGGATCGGGCTGTTGTATACAACTCTATCGTCTATGGTCTATACTCAATACTGGCAGTGATATATAACCTAAATATCATAACTACTTCTCTAGGCGACCGGGAGAAGAATTAGTAACCAGTCAGTGGCTCGGTAAATGATCCACCCTCGCTCTGAGGTGCCTCGGCGTCATGCTACTATCCGTACTGGGTCCGCAGAAGCCATGCGCAAGATATCTGTTCCCGCTCTACGGATGCCGCATCAAATTTGAGATATCAATGAACTGGTCAAGTAATTCAATTCAACGTTATACCCTCATCCGAGGACAAGCCCACAGACCAAGCAAATAAAAACAAGATAAGATATTTCCCGTTGCAAGATCCACCACAAGACGCCTTTCCTACCGATAAAACGAAAGAACAACCAACGTATCCCAGAAACAGTGTCGTCGCAGAATGAAGTAGCGATAGACAGAAAAAAAAAATTACAACCGAAGAGAGAAGGGGGGGGGGAACCCCCAAAGATATCACCCAAGCACGTCACAAAAAAACCAAATCAAAGCGGGATAAAAGAGGACAAGACAAAAGGAAAAACATCACGCAATCGCTCAGAAATTTCAATCAAGAAATCTCAACTTCAAGTGGCCTTCTTCTTGGGAGCCGCTTTCTTGGCCTTTTCGGCAGGCTTGGCCGTCGTCTTCGTCACCCGGCCCGACTTGGTTGTCCCGAGGACCTTGGGCTGGTCGACAACGGCGGGGGCCTGCTTTGCGATCAGTATATTCCTCTTCACGATACAGGGACAGTACTCACAGTGGTGGAGGCCTTGCGGGGCTTGGCGGTGTTGGCCTTGGGGCGGCCAACGGGCTTCTTGGTGGTGGTAGTGGTGCTGCTGGAGGTGGTGCTCTTCTTGGTGGTCTTGGGCTTGTCGGCCTTCTCAGTCTTCTCGGTCTTCTCGGTCTTCTCGGTCTTCTTAGCAGCGGCCTTCTTGGGACCGGGCTTGGCAGCAGCGGTTTTCTAAGACGTGTGAGCGAGAAGACAAAATATTTGGAACATGAACATGGATAAGAACTTACCTTAGCAGCAGGCTTGGGAGCAGGCTCCTTCTTGGCGAGCTTCACGGGACCAGAGGGACCTAGCAGCAAGACGCGTCAGTCGGCACCCCATCAAAGATCAACAAAAGACGGGACAGCGATAAGAAACCTCGAGTGCACGCGCAGAGGCAGCGGCGACGAGGTGAGCCAAAAGTAATGGCAATTGCAAAGGGAGGGAGCGACGCGCGGCAACGCGAAGAGACAAAAAAGAAAACGTACCCTTGGGCTGGGTGAAGTCACCCTTCTCGACACCGGTCTTGATAGCCTTGTTGAACTGGCTGTCAAAGGCGGCGGTAGAAGCAGACGAGATCTTGTTGTTGGCCTGCACATATTTCTTGATGGACTGGCGGCTGTGACGAGGAGCGTTAGCTTCGAGAGGTGAAGGAGGGGAAAGGAGTCGACTGCCACGTCGGCAACCCAACAACCCCGGTCGGGAGACGGGGGGAAACAAAATTCAGCTTACCTGCTACCGTTGCGCTCTTTCAGCTGGAGTGAAAGGAAGAGTCAGCGATCAAGTTCATTACAAAATCAGACGGGTCCGACAGGGCGTTGGGGGGATTGACGACGCGGAGGCGTGGTCCCGGTCGCAGACGGTTGACGCCCGCGCCCGTCATCCCCAAGGCCCGTTCAGGACGGCGTGATCAACTCACGTTCAGGATAGCATCCTTAATCATATCTATATTACACGAATCAGCAGTCATTCGCGACGAGAACAGTACTCGAATCACCCCTACGCGATGTGGTGGTGGTGAAAGATCAGGGGAAACATACCACGGTAGGAGGCGTGGGCAGGACCGGCAGCCTTCTTGGTCGCGGTGGTGGAAGCTTTCTTGGGAGGCATTTTGGGAGGTTGGAGTGGGAGTGGGTGAAAGTGAAACAAGTGGATGAAAGTAGAGTGACACAGGAAGATGAAGATAGTCGAGAGAAGTCTGGAAGTCGAGTGGATCGAGAGTGGGAAAGGAAGAGAAGAAAAGCAAACGACGGCGGAAGGGATGGAAGGCCGCGGGGCATGCGCGCTTTATAGGGCAGCGGGTGTTGACACAGGATCACTTTCGCTCACAACACGTCAAGTCCGCTCTCCTCTTTTTTTTCCCTCTCTCCCTCCCTTTTCTTTTTCTTTTTTTTCAGTCTTAATTTTCTTCTTTTCTTCTTTTCTCCCTCTGTCTATCGAACTTCTTTGGTTTGTGTTTTCTCGGTTGTTGTATGGGGTAAATCCTCTCTTATCTTCCTACGTAGTTAATCCTGTAGACTGTAGAAACTGCTCTTCCCCCGTTGGAATGATTTCCCTCACGCATGATGCCTCGACGCGTGCTGCTCTTTCTCTCCCCCATTCATGATTATCTTTTAGGTCTTCCCCTTTCTACTGGAATAATTGAATATGATGTTGGTCTATGCACATTCACAAGATCCACTTCGCTTGTGAAATTATTTTTTTTTTCCTTTTTTTTTCAGTTTTTCCTTCCCTTCTGCACTCGTCTGTCTGTTCGGGATGGTCGCGTTGTTGTGTCTTTCGCATGCCCAATCTCAATCCCCAATGCAATTTTAAAAAATAAAAAATAAAAAATAAAAATAATTCTAGTATCTTCAATTCAATAAAATGTATTTGTCAAAATATTACATTTTCCTCTATCAACCATACCAACTGGTGGGTGGATTTCCCTCACCTGCATTCTACGGAGTGAATGTGCAGCGAATTCTAGCTCATGGCTGGGGAACAGCTTCTCCAGCTCCATCAACGCCCAAATGTCTTCACGGGACTGCCGTTCAATCAAGCTCATGACCTCCTCACAGCTTGCGCAGGAGCTGTAACCTGCTAGACAGACACCGGAGAAGCCCAGATCCAACCCCGAGCTCGGTCCCTTGCATCGCCAGACGAACCGTGATTCTCCTCGTGAATTTTATACTATTAGCATTAGGTCCTACCGGCCTTGTTATAGTTGTACTTTTTTTTACTTTTAGAACCTACGGGGTATGTCAAGGCGAGGGTTTCACCAGACCTCGTGCCCAGATCCCCCTCCCTCCAACGGTCACGAGGGGGTGGGATGATGTATACATTTTGTCCGTGGGCGTTGCGTCTTGAAACGGCGTAGTTTGAACCTTGATGGCGGATCGCGAGCTCTCGTTATTGGTTTGTACGCCCTACGTTATAGATCATGATCCATGGGTGGTCTTGACTTGGTCCGATCGTTTGGGACAACCTGCTCGCTTAGGGTGATGAGTGATGACTCGAGAATAGAGACAATGGAGCTTGGGGTGAAAGAATTACAGTTCTCGGGTGGTAGAGGTGGATGTGGGAACTTAAGAAATCAAGCATATTGTGATTCAGGTAGGTACAGCGAACTATGAGAATTGACGAGTTGTCGGGAAGTGGATGGGTCTGAGTGATCTACTTCCTACTTCCTGCTCGTCCGCGTCTTGGCTTCCGGTCCCGATCTTGATGGAGGCATCACCACTTTGCCTATCGCATGCTCTTCCCGCCAGAAAGGTATCTCCTGAGTAGAATATAAAGAAGAGACCGGTTGATATATAATGATCATCTACAGTAATTTCCGAATTAAGCCCTGTCGGACCCAGGATCATAATCCACCTGAATCACGGCCTGTCTCGTCTCCCGAGAATGGGTGATCTGGCGCACACTTTGAATAGCTGATCTGTCCACCAACCCAGGGGTTATCGGGTCCATGTTGAGGATAGGGGCTTTGATGCTCTATTTATCTTGTTTTCTGTAGCATTGAAGCGCAGTGCTCTCATACTGGTCTGTGTGGTTTGGTGGGTGTTGTATCTCCATCCATGGCATCCGGCCGCAGACAGTATATAGTTCCAGACCTCCCGCGACTTTGATCACTGGACGTAGAATCACGCAAAACTTACTATATACTGAATAATCAATGAAGTATCACGAACTATATAAATAGTAGAACATTGAAGATAAAACGAGGACATATAATTAACTCGGACGTGGTACACTGTGCTGAGATGGCCGTACCATCACCGTCCCACTCGTCGTACAGTCTACCCAGGCATTCAATGCACGCCACACTCAATTCGAGCAAGGCCAGCACAATCAAATCTAAAACCAGAAATAGACACCTAAGAGACAAACCCAGGCAATGATGACTTGGCGTGTCCAGAGCCCCGAGTGCTTCAGGATCACAGCCAATGAGTTTTGTGCCCAACACCTCTTGCTGGCAAAACCCTGCCTTGCCCGGCCCCGATTGACTTCCCACGGCAGATCATGCACAATGAAAGCCCCAAAAATATACCCAAACATGGCCTTCCCCACGTTGTTTCGCCTGGCAATTATTTACTACTCATGTATCATACGGATTAATCCCATTCGTATAGTAGATTACTAGGTGCAAGGTGGAAGTTGGACGGTGGTCGTTCCAATGGGGAATCGCCACGCCTTGTTTGGAAATGCTCCGTAAGTGTTGTCAATTGATTCCGATCTCCACATAACGCCTTTCGTTCTCCCGGTTTCCTTCTTTTGGTTGGATTTTGTTTTATTTTCATTTGGTCCGTAAGTATTATTCTGATTCTGACTCCGTAAATATATTGATCCCGCTTGTCATCCTCTCTGTCGATCTACCCGGCACCGCGAGGTCTGGACTTGGCCTCCTTCTTGGCCTTCGCCTCGTCCTTCTTGCGCTTCTTCTGCTCCTGTAGTTTCTCGTCGTGTTTGCGCTTAAGGTTCGCCTTCTCCGCATCTGTCCGGGCCATTGGCTTGAAGAAGCCCTCCAGCCGGGATTGCTGGGCTGACTTTAGGTTCTTCTGCAGCCGAGCAGCCCCGTTCCGCACTCGGTCCTCGTTGAACCCCTTGTCTTTGACCAGGAAGTCAATGAGTCCCTCTACGTCGGGCGCATCCCACTTGAAGTCGCACTCGGGAGCACTGGCGTCCCGAACATCCGGGTGGAGGAACAACTCTCGGGCGTCCTGGTATGGCCAGTCTTCGGGAATGACGTATTTCTTCTTGGGGTCGCTCTCGATGGCCTCGACCACCTTCTCCAGGCTGCCGTGCTCCCGAATGAGTTTCAACGCCGTGTTGGGTCCCACCTTAGGGATTGGTTCGAGGTAATCGCATCCCAGTAGGATACATAGATCGATGAACTGCACCGCATTAGTTTGGGGTCTGCATCTCTCGCCGAACAGCTTAGCTCACCTGGCTACGATCCATGCCGAGGCCTTCCAGCGCACGGCTCAGATGGATCTCCTGAATAGGCTCCTTCCGCTGCTCACTGAATGTAAGATGTCGCAGCAGAATGGGCGTCTCGAAGCAAAGTGTGTCCATATCCTCCGACGCAGCCGCATAGACCTTCCCCGCCCGCGCGAGCACGGCGCACTGCGCCTCTGCCTCCGTCGGGGCGTCAATGTAGGGAATCCCCATCAACTTGATGAGCTTCTTGCACTCCGCGTTATGCTCTCTCGTGACGCGCACGGTCCGTCGCGAAAACTTCTCGACATCCTCCGCCGTTCCCGTCTCCTTGGCCTCTTCGTGCGCTTCCGTGGCTTCGCTTTTCCGCGCCGTTCGCTTGGCTAGTTCGCCGGATTTCAGCTTCGGCGGGGCACCGTCGAACACGTATAGAGGCTTGATTCCGTTGTCCACCATGCGTAGGGTGCGGTAGAACATGCCCATCAAATGTGATGTCGTCTCGCCCGAGTCGCTCATGAGCTGCTGGCCTTCGGATCGCACGGCGATGAGGAAACTGTAGATACTCATGGAACTGGATAGCTTTGCGTTAGTGCTTGCGGGGAGGTTCAAAGCTCGGAAACAACGCACGCATCCTAAATTCCAATGGACGTCTGTTAGTTGCTTCCACTCGTCAAACAGCGCATCAATGCCTTGTCTGCACGAATCCGGGGGGAGTGACATACAATAGCGACCTTCCGACCGAAGTGACTCTTAATGTCACCCGATTTGATCGCATCGGGGGCATTTTCGGAAATGACCTGGTATAGCTCTAGAGGGACTCGGTTAGTATGGAAGCTTGCGTCATTGGTGGCAATGGACTCGAAAGGGAGTCGACTCACGTTTAATACCCATTGTAACTGATTTCTTCCTTTCCGAACTCAAAAGAAGACAGAAAAAACCAGGAGAGGAAAAGTCCTTCGTGCCACGGACTTGACAGAGACTACCAGATAGAAAGAAACGAACGCAGCCTTCGAGGCAGCCGTCGTTCGCGCGAAGACGCGACTGGCGCGCCGCTTCTCATTAAGCTCCATCGGGACTAGCGCCCGCGGGCTGCGTCCATCACGTGGTACTGAGCACCCCCGCAGCTCCGCGTCTCTTTCGCTCCGTCTTCGGGGAAACTGGGAGGAATCATCAGGCCTGGGCGCTCCTCGCTATGGATCACTCACGGCTGTGTATGGCACTAGTGCCCCTGCCTACCAATGCATCCCGAAGTTATCTAAGCACTTAGCATCCCCCCCGATAACTAACTACGACTAGTACTAACTAGTTAACCATCTCCTCTCTCCTCCCCGATTTGCTCGCGGTCTCCGAATCACCCCTCTCCTCATTCCTCCAACTCTCCATAACCGCCTGTTCATTGCGGGCGCAGAGGGGGTGACGGCCATAGACACTTTTTAATGTTGTCCGGACCGGCTCTGGCAATGAATTTTCTGGCGTCATGAAACGAAGCCGCCCTCATTTTGACGCCAATGACGATGCGTCGTCCGTCTCGTCCCCCCAAGGTGCTTCGGCGCACCATCCGGCCCTGAAACCCGATCCCCAGCAGAACATTGGACATGTTCCCAAGATCAGTCGGAAGATCAAGGCCTGCTCCGAGTGCAAGCGGCATAAGGTGAAATGTGATATGAAAGCAGGAGAGTCGACCTGCCACCGGTGTCGGCGCATGGGTCTAGATTGTATCGTCAACAAGAGTCTCCAGACTTTGTTAGATGACGAAGCGGAGTAAATCTGCCCCGCTCAGTACTGCATCCCCTAGAGTTGGCGACTGGGATAAACTGACCGGTTTCTATTTTCGCAGGTGGAAAACTACCATCGAGCTCGCTATGGCCGACCTGTTGAGCAAAGCCGATTTACCAAACCTCTCATACTATCAAACGGCGGGTAGGGCGACTGAACCACCGTCTAAGAAGAAGAATCGGAAAGAGTCGACGGTGTCCACGGAGGATGCCGGGGTCGCGGTTGGACACGATCGGAGAACAAACTCCGTCGATATCAATGCCGGCGCAGCGGTAGACGGACCCGAGACGGCTCCCCAGTCCTTCCAGCAAGAGTCGCAGTTTGCCCTGGATCGGGAAGAAAACGGGGTCTCCTCGTTAGTCAATGCGCCGATGGGAAGTCTATACGAAGTGACGCAGTTGAGCGAGATCCAGGCAAACACCCCCAAGCGACAATATGATCCGGACAGGGCACTTGTCACCGATTTCATCTCCCGCGGTCTTGTGGGTATACAAGAGGCGCAAGAGCTTTTTTTCTATTTTGACCGGGTGCTCAATCGATACCTCTGGGACGGCATGGCGCTCGTGCACAAAGACCTGACTGCTGTCCGCAACTCCTCCACGATGCTCACGGCGGCCATCCTAACTGTGACGGCCCTCCACATCCAGGGCAAAGAGAGCACCTTCGACACTTGCTACAACGAATTCGCCCGACTAGCATCGGCGTCAATGCTGGACCACCATACTTTAGATGACTTGCGCGCTTTATGCATCGGGGCGTTTTGGCTTGCGGATATTAGCTGGAAACTGTCCGGCCATTGCGTCCGGATAGCCACCGAGCTTGGTCTCCATCAGTCTTATCGGAAAGCGACGCAAGGCTCTCCAGAACACATAGAGCAGGCTCGATTATGGTATCTTCTATATGTAAGCTTGCTCTTTCTATTGTTGCTTTTTGCTGCTAATCGTCACTCAGACATTGGAGCACCATTTCTCGATCGCATACGGACGTCCGCCAATCATCCACGAAGACCATGCCATTAAAAACCATAACGCATTTACCCTATCCCCCACAGCCACGCAGGCCGAGCTACGTCTACATAGCCAGGTGGACCTGTTCATTATCCTCACCCGGATATATCACGCGTTCGGTCCGGATGTCGACCTAGAAGTACCCGAGAGCGAGTTTGACACAATTGACCAATATGATGCCGATCTGGAAACCTGGAAATCGTCGTGGTTACCTCGATTAGGTATGTCTAGTCCGCAGATTCTGGTTTGGGTCTTTGCTAATGCTGAAACAGCCGGAAGTCGATATGTTGGTGCGTATCCTTACAAAGCCGTCTACCTGCACTACCATTTTTCTCGCCTGCAACTAAACTCCGTGGCTTTACGGACCTATCACTCCTCGTGTTCTGCGCGTTCGATGTCTCCGGAGCGCAAGAAGCGCGCGAACTTGGCCATTGAATCGGCCATTAAGACGCTGCTGGTCGTCCTAGACGAACCGGACATTCAGACCGCGCTGGTCGGTGTGCCGTTGTATCTCCACAGTATGATCACCTTCGCCGCCGTATTCTTGCTGAAAATCGCGGCCAAGGGCTGCTCGAACAACATCCCCGGTAGCCAAGGCCAACAAAACTCCATCGCATCGGCCGGCCTGCTCATCAACGTGGCATATGTGCGTGCACTAGTCGGACGAGTCGTCGAACTGATGGTGTCCTGCAGCCGGAGGGCGAGCGAGCGCCATCTCAGCCATCACATAGCCCGTGGCTTGCGAAAAATGCTCACCGGACTGGAGGAATGGGAGAAGCGGAATGCCGGTACCCAGCAGTCGGCCGGACAGCGCCCACATGAACAACCGTCCATGTTCAAGCCCGTCATCATCCCGGGTGCCCAGCCGCTGGGCGAACGGGACACCATCCTTACCCATCCGCCTCCGCTCCTCGGGGTGGCCCCTTTGTCTGCCGAGCGGGGGAATGGCTTCGATCCCGAAGCCGCGCAACTCCAGGCGCAAGCCGGCCTCTCGGAAGGCTCTCTCGACCCCATGATGCCGGACCTGTGGGGTTTCGACGAGGATTACTTTCCTACGGGGGTTTTCGATTTCCTGCAGTCTCAAATGCCTGCTTGATACGACAAGCCCGCGCATTATCAGCGCCCTGGCATAACTACAGAGCCATATTGTCGGAAGATGTGAGCACCGCTGATGGGCCACTGGATTTTGACGTCTCTACTCCGTTGAGTATTTGAGCGACTTCTCGACGCTCAGGCCAATGGTTTTCGTTCGCCAGACCGATAGTACAGTAACATGGCATACGTACGCCTTGATCGGTCTGGAACGAAGTCCAAGAGATTGCAAATCGTCTGCCTCTTGCGGGCCTGCAATTGTCACGCTCCTTGGGGCGTTGTAGATACACACACACACACACTATCGTGACTAACATGTCTTGTTTTGATTCTGCACGTTGAGTATAAGGGCCACTGTTACGGTATTGGGAATGGGGAATCTAGGCGCATTTACAGTAGCGATATTTACATGTTCATACTCTATAGAATTTATATGCTTTCCCTGATTATTATTTTGAATATAGAAACATTCTCTTGAAATTAAACACTAAATTTTAAGAATAATACATCTGAGGCAACTGACTCCTATACTTGACTAACAGGGAGGGCGTCCCGCGGAAGAGCCCCAACGAGCGGGCCGAGTTGCATTGCCGAGGTCGAGGCGGCCCCTTCTTAACCTTCGGAACGTAAATCATTACACTGCACTCAAGTACTGGTGACGCAGGTCGTCTACTTAAATATCGAGTATCGTCATCTGCCAGAGACTTCAAGTCCTCTCATTTTATTTTATTTTATTTTTCTTTTTAACTCTTCTCTGACCCCCTCTTCCCAATCTCTCTGCGCAACCATGCAATCACCCATGCTCCGCACGGCCTCGCGCCACCTTCAATCAGCAACCCGCCGCTGTCAGACTCCCACGTCGGTGCGGGGGTTCGCGACTGCGTTCAATTGGGAAGATCCGTTAGCGGCGTCGGAACTGTACACGGCGGAGGAATTGGCGATCCAAGACACGGCCAGACAGTACTGCCAGGAACGCCTGCTCCCGCGAGTCCTCGGTGCGCTCCCTCCCCCCACCGTGCTACGGTCTACCTGGTACCAGACGCTAACCCCCTCCGTGTGATACAGATGCCTACCGCCACGAGAACTACGACCGCAAGATCCTGGAGGAGATGGGCGAATTGGGTCTGCTGGGTGCCAGCATCGACGGGTACGGTTGCGCCGGGGCCAGCACCGTCGCGTCCGGGTTGATCACCAAGGAAGTCGAGCGCGTTGACTCAGGCTATCGATCGGGCATGTCGGTGCAAAGCTCGCTGGCGATGACGGCCATCCATGATTTCGGCACGCAGGAGCTCAAGGACCGTCTGCTGCCGGGACTGGCCAAGGGCAAGCTCGCGGGCTGCTTCGGGCTGACCGAACCCAACCACGGCTCGGACCCGGGGTCCATGGAGACGGTTGCACGCGAACATCCCACGAAGAAGGGCGTCTACCTCCTATCGGGCTCCAAGACCTGGATCACCAACTCCCCCATCTCCGACGTCCTCATCATCTGGGCCAAGCTGGAGTCCACGGGGAAGATCCGCGGCTTCGTCGTTGAGCGCGACCAGTGTCCCTCGGGTACTCTGGAGACGCCCGCCATCAAGAACAAGTCGGCCCTGCGGGCCTCCATCACCGGCATGATCCAATTGGACGACTGCCCCGTGCCTGCGGAGAACATGTTCCCCGAGGTGCAGGGGCTGACGGGCCCGTTCACCTGTCTCAACAGCGCGCGGCTGGGCATCGCCTTCGGGGCCATGGGCGCCCTCGAGGACTGTCTCAGCCGGGCGCGCACCTACGCTCTCGAGCGGAAGCAGTTCAAGGGCAACCCGCTGGCCAAGTACCAGCTGATCCAGAAGAAGCTGGCCGATGCCGCTACGGACGCGGCGTACGGAACCCTCGCCGCTACGCAGGTCGCGCGGCTCAAGGACGAGGGCAAATCTACGCCGGAGATGATCTCGATGGTCAAGCGACAGAACTGTGACCGGGCGCTAACGAATTCCCGCATGTACGTGCCCTGCCCCTCTTTCTTAATCCATCACATTCCCCTAGACACAGGGCTAATCCTTGCAACGAATAATAGCCTGCAGGAGATCTTCGGCGGGAATGCCACCTCCGACGAGTACGGAATTGCGCGACATGCGGCGAATCTGTTTGTCGTGCAAACGTACGAGGGCCAGAGCGATATTCACGGTATGTACCTTCTGATCTAGGTCCCCTGTACTCCGGAATCCATGTCTAGCGGATGGCTAATGATTGGTCTAGCGTTGATCCTGGGACGCGCCATTACCGGGGTCCAGGCGTTTGTCTAGATAAAACTGAGGATGGGTGGTAGATTGTACATAGAATTCCAACGATACGCAGACTTCATTTACTAGTAGAAAGAAGAGTAGATGACAGACAGTATAGACACTTCGACCAACACGGAGAGTCTTCGAGAACCCACCACCACGTGACCCTCTGCGCCACGTGGGTCATTACCAGATACGGTGTACAGTAGTTACCTACACCTTACCTACACCGTACGGTAATTCCCTCCTCTCCATCCCGTCGGGTACCTTGAAAGGACTCTTATAAAAGTAAAACCCGTGAATTCCAGTCCCAGGAGCATTCGAGCCTTGACAATTAAACGATTAGTGTGACCCAAGTGCTCCACCCTCCGAACCGATGACGATGATGATCCGGGCTCCAACCCGAGCGGGGGGACTAAAGATCTTAGCCGTGGTCGTCGCCACAACGGATTCCTATTATTCATGGGTGCAAAGTTTTTCTCTCCCTGACGGTACCTGACTGCCGGTTGGAGATACGGTGTACGGAGTATGAGAAAATGTAGGATCAAAAGTCAAAAGTTGAATGGGGAAAAATTGAAGAAAAAATGGATCTGACCGGTCATTTTTGTGAGCCACTATTGACAAGTGGCGACGCCTTGTTGCAGGTCGGGGTATGTGCATACAGAGGGTGATTCTGATCTATCAGGTGTATTATCTGTAGATAATAAGACTCTCTATGTATGTAAAAGTGTGTTCCTACGGAGGACTCCTATATTCTCCAGGGTATACTCCGTACTCCGTCA